CCCCAAAACCCCAAAACCCCAAAACCCCAAAACCCCATCTCCACGGAAATATATTGATTATACAATTAATTAACTCCACACGCAAATCAAGATGCTGAACTTAAGAGCCAAAAGCTTCCTAAAAAAGCCTGTTCTCTTCACAACAGCCCCAAAAAGGAAGTTTGCATACATCCACAACTTTCACCACCCGCCAGCAGTCTATGTAAACGACAAGAAGCATATCTTCGATTGGGATATTTCAGAGTACGAGCCTATCGTTAAAGCCTTCTTAACTAGAAGATGGACTACCAAGAGAGAAGTAGCTCCCAAAATAGAGATCTTAACTCCTCTGAAAGGCTATAGAGATAGCTTATACCTCCAGAAACTTGTGCCTCTAGAACGATTGCTCACTGAGCACCATATGGTTAGGGCTTACGAGTCAGACAGCATCAACACTCAGTACTTAATGACTATATTCTGTGAGGAATATGAAAAGAATTTATACGAAGCTTATCACAATAAAGTCCTCATGAACGGCCAAGTTCCCTCTCTTGCAGATTACAATGAACATGAAGCTATCAAGAAAAAGGCTGATGATCTCTTCGATGTGTTCTATAATGGAGACAAACTCACTAGCTTTGAAAGAGATATCGAGAGAAGATACCTAGCAGCTAAATTTGAAAAACTTTCCAAGTATAAAAAGAATAAGTCTGAAAGGTATAAGGTCAGGTGGACTTTAAGCGACATTAACCGCTTCCAAGAGCATGATAATTATAGAATGACCGATCCAGAATATTTAGCCAAACCTAAACCTATTTTCTCATATTTCACAATGGATGACTCTCTTAAACATCTGTATACTTATTTAGATATTAAAAATGTTGGACGGATAAGAAGATTTTGGGTATGGCTCACAGAGATGAGACTTTACGAAAGATCAAGACACAGAAATCAGCTCCAGGCTAAAATCATCTTGCAGAAGTTATTCCAATATCCAGATACTTGGGAATTTGTGAATCAACTGGAGGTTGAGGAAGACTTTCACATTAATCACTCGATAGTCAACATGCATATCTGGCTTGTTTGCACTCGTCTGAGGGATTTCACAAAGAACAAGTTTGCTGAAGAGCTTGCCCTTGACCTTATCGATACCTTCAACGGTTTTACTCGTAATGAAATATATGACCTTGATGTAATGAGAAAAGAGAGGAAAATAGAAAGCATTGAAAACTACCTTTTCGCTATCAGGAAGAACTTTGACAATCATTTCTACATCAATGGTAAAACAGCAGAGAATCCTTACTTCAAAATTGACTCTCTGGTCTGGAGTTGTATCTACCACGAAAAGGTTCCCAGATACTCAGACAAGGTTTACAAGATGAGTGAGTACCTCATCAAATCATTCAAATACATAAAAACTTTAAGTTACCAAGATATTGAAGGAGGAAACTTTGACTGGAATGCCTGACTCACCCCTATAAATTACGAAGATAGAGTCATCAAATACAACATCCCTCTTAGCGAGTATGAGTTCCAACGAGAAATGAATAGTTCTTACAAAGTCAAGAAGTACCACTATAATTACAGATGGCCAGATGAACTAAGTGAAGAAAACCTCAAAAAGACCTTCATCAACATGATGGCCAATGACCACCTCTACAGTGGAAATGAAAAATCTGTCAAACAAGAAGACCTTGATTTTGATGCCCTCGAAGGTGAAGCCAAGAAAGAAATGATGTTCAAACTTCAACAAAAGTTAGAGGAATATGGAAGTCTTCCCACTGACGATGATAACTACTACAGAGATGAAAAGCAAGGTCACTCAGCTATCTCCTCTCAGTTCGAAATTTGGCAGAAAAACATGATCCTTCCTCTCTCAGAACAAATCTCAGAGCAGCATGAGAGAAAGCTCAAAAGAGATGAAATTGAAAAGAGTCAACAAGGGAGTTCAGATAGCGTCTTTGACGAAGGAGTTTATGATCCTAATGCCTTCCTAGACCTTGAAAAATATAAGAAAGCTAGAAAGACTGCTCTCCGAAATACCTACACCACCGAACAAATTGAGAAGAAAGAGAGACAAAACCGGAGAATAGAAGAGCTAGACAAATTCGCTAAAGGCGAAAGTGCAGACATGAAAATCATCAAAAGGAAGAAAGCAAGATCTAGGTTCAGACCCCCAGCTGAAGAAGATATCGACGATGAGGTTGACGACCATGTCGAAATAGAAAATCAGAAGAAGAGTAAATATAGATTATGGTAGACCAATTCTAGAGAATCGTTGAGGGGTTTTGGGGTTTTGGGGTTTTGGGG